TTTCCAACCCAGCTGATTGTATGAAATGTTTGGTTTGCTCATCTGTGCCACCTTTAAGAAGCTCAACATGTTTAGCTGCAGTGCTGTGCATTCACTACATGTACCTGCTAGTGACCAAACTGCAGTTTGTGGTATGAGTTTGTACTGGCAATGCGAGGTGTAACTGCAGGGAAACTTGCTCAGTGCTGGGTTCTGAACTCTGTAGGACAAACAGCATGCTCAGGAGTCTGTGCAAAGACCTTCAGAGGTATTTATTTGCCTGTCAGAAGTATTAATTTACCTTATTCTCTTCTGGAAGGTTAAAAATGAAGATAATTTGTCCTCTGTCCTCACCCACCTGCCATCCCTCTCCAGTGCTTTCACCAACCACTTTGGTGTCACACAAGTCTTGTCTTCCTTCTCCCATAATAGCAAAATTGCTATTATGCTGATCCTTGAACCATGGCAAGCTCTCTTCCTTCCAGGTGTAGCTTCTCTCAACTGCTGCCAAGCACCATCTATCTCACCAAAAGGCACAGCCCTTCTCAAAGGGAGAATGTTTTTGCACCCATGAAGTTTTTGAAAACCCATGTTTTCTGACCTTTTCATTACATACACTGTGCTGGGTAGAATTAGGTGAGGATAACACCTCCAAAATGAACTTTTTTGTTCTAAACTGTTGTCAGAGGGATCTGCAGCCATATGCAGACAATTCTGTCTTGCAGACAAGTGGGTACAGTGTTCATCTCTTAATGAGAAAGGCCAAGGAAGCTTAGGGCCATTCAGATATTGGTTGGGTATTGGGATACTTGACAAATCATCATGTGTTTTTCTTCTTGTGCCTCCTTTTCCAAGCTGAGAAATATTCTGTTGTTCAGCAAACCATATACGCTTCGTGTTGGCCTTCTGTCAAGGGGTTAAAGAAAAAAGAAGTCCATGCTACAATGTTAAAGGCATATTATTTGTTAAGGCAGTGGTGTAGAATCATGGAATCATCAAGGCTGGAGGAGACCTCTAAGAGCATCCAGTCCAGGCATTTACCTGTCACTGCTGGAACCCCTAAACCCTAAACCAGATCCTCCAGTGTCAGATCCAGATGCCTCTTCAACACCTCCAGGGATGGTGACTCCACCACCTCCCTGGGCAATATCCCAGTGCCTCAACACCCTCACAGGGAAAACATTTCTCCTCACATCCAATCTGACTCTGCCCTGGCTCAGCTCAAGGCCATTCCCTCTAGTCCTCTCCCTGCAGCCATGGCAGGACACACATCCCCCAGATGTGGGATGCCAGTTTTGTGGAGTTGAAAAATAGAACAACTCTGAAATTTTCTCTGGCTTTTCTAACCTTGTTTCTTTCTAAAGCCAAAGATCTTATTCCTAATTTGGGCTGTGTTACAAGCAGCCAAGCGTGCGTACAACAGGATGAAGTCCACGGGAGGCAAAAGGGCAGTGCAACTGGCAGCTACATTCGGAAGGAAAGGACAAATGGAAAACTAAGAATAGCTTTGCCCATTTTCAGGAGGGAACCTTCCATCTGATGAGGCACTTATTAGCTCACTACAGTGCCTCAGCAGGTGATTTCCTGTCCTTGCTTAGCAAGTTCAAATTCCCATGTGTCTCCAAACCGTGATGCTATGCAGGAATAGAGAACAGGTGGATGCCACTGTGGAGTGGATGGGTCTGTAACAGAGACATCAATGTCAGTGATTCTGCCTCGTGTGGTTTTGTAAACTGTCCTGGCCTTGGTTTTCCATTTTGAGGGTTTGCTTTCATACATGTGGAACCTGAGGTAACCAGCAGTGCAGGGGTGACTCAGATTACCTCTGTGTTGCTTAAATCATACAGTCAACAAGGTTGGAGGAGATCTCTAAGATCATCAAGTCCAACCATTAACCTGTCACTGCTGGAACCACTAAACCCTAAACCAGATCCTCCAGTGCCAGATCCAGATGTCTCTTCAACACCTCCAGGGATGGTGACTCCACCACCTCCCTGGGCAATATCCCAGTGCCTCAACACCCTCACAGGGAAAACATTTCTCCTCACATCCAATCTGACTCTGCCCTGGCTCAGCTCAAGGCCATTCCCTCTAGTCCTCTCCCTGCAGCCATGGCAGGACACACATCCCCCACCTCTCTCCAACCCTGGCAGGGAGTTGCAGAGAGCCAGGAGGTCACCCCTGAGCCTCTTCTCCAGGCTAAACAAACCCAACTCCCTCAGCCCTTCCTCATCCCACAGGTTTTCCAGCCCTTTGCTGCCCTCGTTGCCCTTGGCTGGACTCGCTCCAGTGCCTCAATGGCCTTTGGGCAGTGAGTGCCCAAAGCTGAGCACAGCACTGAGCTGGGACCTCCCCAGTGCCCAGTGCAGGGGGATGAGCACTGCCCTAGTCCTGCTGGCCCTGGTTGTGGGAGGTGATGTTTGTTCCCACAGCCACACAGGGCAGAGGGGTAGCATTCTCCCTGCTCATGGCAAGCCAGCTCGAGAGCAGGGCTGCCTATGGCCCTGCCATAAGACTCTTGGCCCTGCATATGTTCTGATCCCTACACAATGCCCCTTGCAATCTAAGACATCCTAAAACATAATTGCCCCTTTTCTTCCTTTGCATTTTCAATGAAGATCTGTTCCTTCCTAGCAAAGAAGACACACTCTCAGTGTCCTTTCCTTGATACTCGGCACTTCTGTTAACCAAGCCCCAGTCTTCAAGGCAGAGGCTACTTTCACCACTTGGGCACTTTATTTCTTGTACTGTGGAACAGGCAATACTTCTCAGTGTTCTGAAACTGCATGAAGTACAGTGATATTTCTACACATGTCAATAGCTCAGACATGATTAACTGCTCATTGCTTAGGGTGCTTGGATGATGCATGCTTTACAGTATTGGCCTTTTCCTTTGTTAGGAGCTGCAGTGACAGGACAAGGGGCAATGGGGACAAATTGAAGGAGGGAAATTTAGGTTAGATATTAGGCAGGAGTTTTCCCTGTGAGGGTGGTGAGACACTGGCACAGGTTGCCCAGGGAGGCTGTGGCTGCCCCAACCCTGGCAGTGTTCACAGCCAGGTTGGATGAAGCCTTGAGCAACCTGGTGTGGTGGGAGGTGTCCCTACCCATGGCAGGTGGTTGGAACTGTATGATCTCTAAGGGCCATTCCAACCCCTAAAATTCTGTGATGATTCTACGAATAGCAATCAGTGTTGCTATCTGAAAAAAGGTCAAGGAAAACCAAAGACCTTTCCCCAGGTGTCCTTTATCAAAATTGCAGTCAACTCGATCAAAGCTTTCTCAATCTATCTTTACATTTGTATTTCTGTCTGTGAAGGAGTGGTAATTTGTGAGCCTTTAGGACTTTCTTTTGGATGTCTTTAGGACATCCTGTGAGTCAGAATGCCATTTAAATACAGTTCCAAAATACTTTCCTTCCAGAGTCCAAGTTTGGGCTGCACCTGAGCTCAGCTTTAGGAAAAAGTCACTCCTTGCCAGGGAGTAAGAAACATGGGATAGAAGTTGTTTTGCTCAGTGTTTATGCAGGGGTGAAGTGAATTAGCTGAACATTCTTGTACTAGGTGGAACAGAACGAGAAAGCTGTTAACATAATATCACCATGGGGCTCAGTTAGAAATGGGATATGTCACCTGCATTTGACTAAATTTCTTAGTGCTTCACCTCTCATTCTAGTGTGTACAGAGCCTGGAAAACTGCTTTTAGAACAGGCTGAGAGGGAGGCTGACTTCATATCGTAAATGGCCAGGAGAAAAACTCCTGATTTCCAAGTGATTGAATAAATAAGCACCCCCATGGAGGCATCTGTTTTTCTGGGTGTAGAGTTACTTCCACTGGGTAGGGCTAAGGATCTCCTGGCTTGCTTTACACTGGGTTGCAGAATCAAGGCTTTTGCAGGTCTGCTCTGACAGTTTCATCGCACAAAGCCCCTGCAAAACTTGTGGGTTATGAAATATTTCCTCTCCAGCAGGTCCCAGCCAAGAGATGGCATCTGCAGAGCCAGAAAAGGAAGTCCTTGCCTTATAGAGAGAGCTCTCAGTGTGACACAATGGCTGCTATAAAGTGTCAGGGAAGCTGAGTCGAAGGCAAAGGAACAAAGGAAGACCATTCAGTGACTGTCCCAGGCAAAAGGAAAGCAGAAGGGATGGATAAATTCAAGGCTGCGCTCGTGCTGGCTGGGGTAGGGGATGCTCTGGGGTATCGCAACTTCTCCCGAGAAAACAATGCTCTGGGGGCGAAAATCCAGCAGGAACTGAAGGAAATTGGAGGGCTTGAGAACCTGGTGCTCTCTCCTGACAAGTGGCCAGTAAGTGACAACACGCTCATGCACATGGCTACAGCTGAGGCTGTCATCACAGGTAGGTACAGTGGGACTAGCTGTGCAGTCTGGGGAGGGACTGAGCTGTTGAGCTGCTGTTTCTGAGGCTCAGCCTCGTGGAGCTGTGAGAAAGTGTGTCAGAAATGCTGCTTGTGGGGATGATAATGTACATTAGTTTGGCTCCTCCACCAACACAGTCCTGTGGCCATCAGGGGAATCTTCATTTCTGGAGTGTGGAGAGGCTCTCCCTGTATTTTCCCTAGGTATATACAGTTAGCTTAAAGACTAAAATACTCTATGTCCAGCATAGCAAAAATAGTTGCTAAGTAGATTATCTGTATGCTGGAATACATCAGGGAGTAATACAGCCACTAGAGATTCTTCTGTAAAAGATAAGAACCATCCTGAGTGCATTTTTAACATGTTTGTGTCCAGAACTCCAGGCTGGAATAGAGTCACCTTAATACTTCTTTCAGGCTAAATCCACTAGTCCTATTTCCTCTTTGCTGCCTCTCAAAATGTTGTACCTGCAAGAGCAGAAGAAGAACTATTTGCTTTATAAGGAGAGTTCTCTGTCTTTAGTCCAAAAAAATCTTCTAACGTAATATTCTATTAGATGTTAGGAGAAATGTTTTCCCTGTTGTGGTGTTGAGGCACTGGGATATTGCCCAGGGAGGTGGTGGAGTCACCATCCCTGGAAGTGTTGAACAGATGTCTGGATCTGACACTGGAGGATCTGGTTTAGGGTTTAGGGGTTCCAGCAGTGACAGGTTAATGGTTGGACTCAATGATCTCCTCCAACCTTGATGGTTCTAGGATTCTATTCTGTGTTTGTAATAAAGTCTGTCAGAATAGTGGAAGTTATTAAGATACATCTCCTAAAATCACAAAGGCTTGAGAGTGAACATGTTTTTTCTTAAGGTAGGGATAGTCTTTTTAAGACATGAGAGTATTTGTATCAACACACATCAAACCAGACCTTTCTGAGTCAGGGCTCAAAAAGCACTCCAGAACACACTGAGCACCTGTGTTTGTAATAAAGTCTGTCAGAATAGTGGAAGTTATTAAGATACATCTCCTAAAATCACAAAGGCTTGAGAGTGAACATGTTTTTTCTTAAGGTAGGGATAGTCTTTTTAAGACATGAGAGTATTTGTATCAACACACATCAAACCAGACCTTTCTGAGTCAGGGCTCAAAAAGCACTCCAGAACACACTGAGCACTCTGCAGCATTTCACCTCTTCTGAATGAATCAATCCTTTCAATCTCAGCAAAAATATTCCTGTTTTTACTTAGAGCACTTAACCCTGTGTAACTGCCAGTGGCAGTAGCTCACAATAGCTGAGTATCCTTCACGTCAATGAGATTTCCCTTGTGCTCCTGTTTCACTGCTTCATCTGTCTGCTCCCAACCTGCTCTAAATTTAGCACATAGAGATCAGTTGAAGAGTGTGTTGGACACTTCATACTTGGCTATTAGCTGCCCAATGGTTTAAGGGGTAGCTAATACACTAAAGATAAGGACAAGATGTCAGCCTATCAAGAAAGAAGATGACAAACCTATTTCTGTATATAGGCTATGATCAAATACGTGTCAGATGTTTCTTGCTTAGTGAACTCCCTAAAACCATAACTTCTGGAGAATCAAGGCAGTTAGACCAACAGTAAAATCATAAATCTCTTTTTTTTCTTAACTATAGCAGGAGCACTGTGGCTCGAAAGAAAAGGCTTTCAGCTATAATTCGATTGACTCTGTTATCCTACACGCTCATTTCTTTGGCCTTAAAATGTGCTTTCGTGGGCTGGAGAGAAAACACCAAGATGGAGTTGGAAATTTTTGCAAGAAACCTTCATTACACAATAACATTGGGTTTAGGGGTCCCAGCAGTGACAGGTTAATGGTTGGACTCAATGATCTTAGAGGTCTCCTCCAACCTTGATGATTCTATGATTGGTGAGCGAGAAAAAATGAGTCCTTCTCTCTGCTTCCCACAAGGGAGACAAGAACTGTCCCTGCCTGCAGCACTGTCTCCTTCTGCCAGGGGGAAGGTTAAAAAGCCCTAGGACTTGCTCATGACCCTGTCTGTGTGCCAAATCACCCACATCAACAAAGTGAAGCTGCAGAAGGTGAATGTGTCTGTGAGACTGAAGGCAACTGCCACCATCCCTGGCTGTCTCAGGCAGAGGAGTCAGCTCTCAACTGAGATTTTAAAGGGTGTATTGAGGCAACTGTTCCCTGGCTGCCTCAGGCAGAGGAGTCAGCCCTCAACTGAGATTTTAAAGGGTGTATTGGGTGTCTGGAACTTTATCATCCAAGGAAAAACAAAGAAGGGGGGATAAGGAATGAAAATATCCCTGTCCTCACTGCTCTGTTCCCTGCAAGTCCCATTTGGCTGGCTGGCTGCCTCCTGGCCACAGCATCCTGTGCATACTTCCCTGGCTGCCTCAGGCAGAGGAGTCAGCCCTCAACTGAGATTTTAAAGGGTGTATTGGGTGTCTGGAACTTTATCATCCAAGGAAAAACAAAGAAGGGGGGATAAGGAATGAAAATATCCCTGTCCTCACTGCTCTGTTCCCTGCAAGTCCCATTTGGCTGGCTGGCTGCCTCCTGGCCACAGCATCCTGTGCATACCTGTGGGCAATTGCAGGATGCTTGCAGGCTGGGACAAACGTGCCCAGACGTCTCATCATCAGGGCAATGCCCTCTGGGGAGCTCCCAGGCTGAGGCTGTGGCAGTAGCCAAGTCTGAGGTGGAGGCTGTGTCAAGGACAAGGGACGTTCTCACCTAGGGAGGGAATTTTGGCCAATGCTTTGCTGTCCACATGGAGGATGTCCCAGGAGGGCCATGGCCAGAAGCAGCTGGGACTGTGGACACTGCTTCAGGCTGAGCTGGTGCTCCTCAAATATCCACCATGTGTACAGACTGGATGGTTTATCCAGCAATGAAGGATCTATGAAACATCTGCTGCAGCAGAAATATCTCCCATAAGGGAGGAGTGAGAACAGCATCATCAAACCTAGGGGGAAATCTACCCCTGCAATGAGGAAATCCCTCTGCTCTCTGGCATGCATGGTTTTAAAAAAAGATAAAGAGTTCATTTCTAAAGGAAGATCCTGTCTTTTTGACAGCTAAGACAGCAGCCTGGCTACAGGTGTGGGGACCATGCTGGGTTCCAGGTGTGGGGACATGGTGGGTTCTGGGTGTGGGGACCATGGCTGGCTCCAGGTGTGGGGACATGGTGGGTTCTGGGTGTGGGGACCATGGTGGGCTCAAGCAGCCCAGAGGTGCTGGACCACAGGGACTCTGGCTCTGGGAACAAGGCTTCTGCAGGAACCACCAGGGAGCAACTCCTGCCCCTGGCTCCCATGTGGATAAACTGACACCTGGCTCCTGAATCTGGGAATAGCTGGCAGCTTGTTTGGTTAGGATTGTGTGTGGGATGGACAGTATAAATGGCAGGGTATTTTTTTGGTGAAAGGAGGGGAATCTTTGCTCTTGCCTTCACCTTCATTATTTGCCTGCCTGCATAACTGGTTTTTCAGAGTGTCCCTGGCTTCTGGGACTCCAAACTTTCTCTTCAATGAAACCCTGGATTTCAAGAATTCACCGTCTCTGACAAAATGAAGATATTTTGAGAAGAACTTCCCCTTCTGTGTCATTTGACCTGTGCATAAAACCAAGTATTAAACAGAATTTCTCTAAGTACAGAATCACAGAATCAGTGAGGTTGCTGGTTTTTCAGAGTGTCCCTGGCTTCTGGGACTCCAAACTTTCTCTTCAATGAAACCCTGGATTTCAAGAATTCACCGTCTCTGACAAAATGAAGATATTTTGAGAAGAACTTCCCCTTCTGTGTCATTTGACCTGTGCATAAAACCAAGTATTAAACAGAATTTCTCTAAGTACAGAATCACAGAATCAGTGAGGTTGGAAGGGACCGGACCACAGTTTTGCTGTTCCCTCTAGTTTTCTTGGTTTCTGAAAGTCTGATCCATCCTCTTGGCACTTCCCATTCATGGGCTTGAATACAGTAATGTGGGAGTACATAGAGAAGATATAAATGGACAAATCCTATTGCCCTCCTCTGTTCCCACCAACACAGCTGTAATAGATGCCAGTTGAATATTTTCCTTGATGGGGGCCAAGGGCAGGACTCTTCAAGCACAGCAACACAAAACAGCAGAGAGAAGCAGATATACTGAAGAAACAGTATATGTTTAACAGGGGGAAGGTTCTTCCTTAAGCAAGACTGTAGGATGTGGTAAAAATAATCTACACACAGATTTGTTAGTGAATGTGTCAGGTCTGCAGGGAGAAGAGTAGAGGGAATGGCCTTGAGCTGAGCCAGGGCAGAGTCAGATTAGGTGTTAGGAGAAATGTTTTCCCTGTGAGGATGTTGAGGCACTGGGATATTGCCCAGGGAGGTGGTGGAGTCACCATCCCTGGAGGTGTTGAAGAGACATCTGGATCTGGCACTGTACCATATGGTTTAGGGCTTACAGCATTGACTGGTTAATGGTTGGGCTCAATTATCTTTGAGGTCCTCCAACCTTGATGGTTCTATGATTCTAATGCATTCCAGAGAGAAATTCATCTGCTGGAAATGCTATAGACTGTAGGGATTTACTGCTCCTACTGATCTTTATAATATCTTTTCTTAAAAGCTCACTGTGCTGGATCCTGTACTGACACAAGGTATTGGGGTCCCTGCATACCTACCGGATTTAGACAAAATAAATACAAAGAACAGATTAAAAATGAGATCATTAATTTGTTTCTGTGTAATAGTTTAAAAAAACAAACAAACCAAAACAGGCTTTTGTTTTTAAATTCGATTCACATCTGCAAAGGCAAGGGCCAAGCCAGGCACACTGGCTTCATCCAGTCCCCAGGGTGGCCACACTCACCTTATAGTTGGACACCTCTGTAATTACTTCACACTACAGAGCTTAAAGAAAGGGCCCAAGCACCTACTGTTGATTAACAGAATGTCTTCATCTTCCTGATCCAAGGAATTAGAAGTGGAAATGAATGAAGGCAAAGAGGAGAACTGAGTCAACACCATTGCTCTCATGGTTTGTAAATGTGCATTGACAGCAGCACCAGAAACATGGCTTGGTGCATTGGAAGTGGAAATAGGACTGGTTTTCAAATGCATAGTGAGCTTGCTTGTGTGTGTTCCATGCTCTCTTGCTCTCCTGCCTTCACACAGCAACCCTCTCTCCCCTCCTCTGAGCAGATTACTGGTGTCTAGAGGACCTGTACCGTGAGCTGGTGAAACGCTACGTGGATGCTATCGACAAGCTCTCGGGCAGAAGGCCAGACCCTGCTACCATAGAAGGCTGCAGGGAATTAAAACCAGACAACTACCTCCTCGCTTGGCACACGCCGTTCAACGAGAAGGGTATGGTACCTCTCTCCATTTATAGGTCCTGGCTGGAATCAAGCATGCTCTCAGTGTTTGTGGCTGTATGGAAATTGTTTCCTTTTCCCCCCTGACATCAAAGGCCACTACCCCTGAAACGTTTCCATCTTTGCCTGAGGATGGCCAGAGGTCTGCCAAGAATTCCTTCTGTAGGGCACTGTGTCCTCTCGTAAACGAACCCCTCCCTCTTTAACAGCTATTTAAAGAGGCTTTGTCCTTGGCTCTGTGCCTCGGGGTCCAGATTTTGTCCTTGGGTTTAATGGTTATTTTAAGAAATATTTTCTGCAGTTTTTCACTTAAAGGTTTTGTAGACTTGGATCTTTGCAGTGATGGCTGATCTGAAACAAAACATCAAGCCTGTAAATTGCTTTAAGCATCAACACGTTCCCTGGAGGGAAAGCAGAGACGTTGCTCCAGCTGGATGTCCTGCTAACAGCTACGACTGGTTTGCTGATAACCCCTAATCTTCCTAGCCTGGCCTACCTACCCTTGACCCTCTCTTTCTTTCTCTATATGATCATTTCACAGAATCACAGAGTCATAGAATCAGTGAGGTTGGAAGGGATCACAATGGTCATCTGGTCCAACCTCCCTACTCCAGCAGGGCCACCCTAGAGCACATGGCTCAGGGTTGTGTCCAGATGGGTCTGGAATATCTCCAGTGAGGGAGAATCCACGTCCTCTCTGGGCAATCTGTTCAGTGCTCAGTGACTGCACAGCAAAGACGTTCTTCCTCATGTTCAGGTGGAACTTCCTGGGCATCAGTTTTTGCTGTTCCCTCTTGTTTGATTGGTTTCCCACACTGAGCAGAGTCTGATCATCCTCTTGGCACTTCCCATTCATGGACTTGAACCATTTCATTTAACAATGAATAGAATTTCCACTTCCAGATAAACAACATGCATGCAGTTCCGTGCACACACATACACAGTGCAGTTACTCTTGGAAGCTTGTGGAGATTCCACACCATGGGAGGAGGTTGACCCAGCCAGCCATGAACCGATGGCAGCTCACACAGATGTCCTGCTGTGTTGATGTGATGCTCTGCCACTCTAGTGCCTATCATCAGTGCTCAACAGAGCTGCTTATTGATGCAGCATCGTGGCAAAGACCTGGTGGCACAAAGCAGTGCTCAACAGAGCTGCATATTGATGCAACATCGTGGCAAAGACCTGGTGGCACAAAGCCATGGCTATTTCTGGGACTCTGCAGTCAGTTTGCTCTGACACAAAAAGCATTTCTCACTCATCCCCCGTTCCTCACAACAGCTGCTGGGAGCGAAAAGGGTGTATTCTGCCCACCCTGCTATCAGCCAGGCACATCAGAGAAAGTGCCCCTTTGTCAGTTGTCACATGTTTTCTGATTGACAGGGGACAAAATTTGGTAAAAAGAATTGTGGGAGATGCTGTTGACCCTGAGAAGCTCTCGAGAGCGTGGCTGTTCCCTACCCCATCGTTGTGCTGGAGCTACAGCTCTTCTTTTAACCTTTCTCCTCCCCACCTTTCCATGAGTGACTATTTGCTTTTGGGGTACTCTGGGCTAGAAGGATTTAAAATTAATCTCTGCCTTGAGGCCTGACAGCTGAAGGCCACATTCTCCATCTGGTCTGACAAATATTATCTTGAACATCTCAAGAAGCCTTTTTTTCACCCTGACAGCAAAAGAACCAGTGAACTGAGGTGGAGGTGTTCTGTCTCCCATTGGGCTTGAGAATGCTATGGACATAATTAACTTTTCAATGGAACATTCACAAAATTAGATTGACAAGATTATATTTTGTTTGGGCTGGAACCAAAAGTCTGATTCTATCTGATCTCACTTCTAGCCAGTTACTCATGTGCCAGCGAACTCATGGACCAGTGAAATCTTAGTTTAGGTAATTTTGCATGGCTTATAAAATGTTTCTCTGTTCAAATTCTTGTGGGTGTAGTCAGCACACTGAATTCTTGTCAAACTGCCCTGTGTGTCTCTTTGCCACCTCATGTCAAACTCATTGCCACACTTGTGGCAGAGGTACCTGGGTTGCGTTAGAGATTCCTGTGACCACCAGAAGACCTACCTGAGATTGTCTATTACCTTCCATTTTGAGAGCTTGTTTCCAATTTATTGCATTGATAAATTATGCAATATTTTGCAAAATATTGCAAGGCTAAACTTCCCCCCATTAAATGTTTGCCTCTGTTCATCTGTCAGCATTTGTTTAAAAGTGTGATGCAGATGAGTCTGCTGTGTCTGAGAGGTGGCAAAAATGTTTTGATCCATTACCAAAATCTCAAATTGTTCAAGAGGGAATTGTTGATGTGGAAGAGTGGAAGCAAAATCTGAGTAAGGCAGTACTACTTGAGCCTGAGACTTGCCTTCACAGACAGTGCAAAAGGCCAGTCAAATAGCTCAGCTCTACCTGTATCATGTGGATAGGACTAGGGCAGTGCTCATCCCCCTGCACTGGGCACTGGGGAGGTCCCAGCTCAGTGCTGTGCTCAGCTTTGGGCACTCACTGCCCAAAGGCCATTGAGGCACTGGAGCGAGTCCAGCCAAGGGCAACGAGGGCAGCAAAGGGCTGGAAAACCTGTGGGATGAGGAAGGGCTGAGGGAGTTGGGTTTGTTTAGCCTGGAGAAGAGGCTCGGGGTGACCTCCTGGCTCTCTACAGCTCCTGAGAGGGTTGGAGAGAGGTGGGGGATGTGTGTCCTGCCATGGCTGCAGGGAGAGGACTAGAGGGAATGGCCTTGAGCTGAGCCAGGGCAGAGTCAGATTGGATGTGAGGAGAAATGTTTTCCCTGTGAGGGTGTTGAGGCACTGGGATATTGCCCAGGGAGGTGGTGGAGTTACCATCTCTGGAGGTGTTGAAGAGGTGTCTGGATGTGGCACTGGAGGATCTGGTTTAGGGTTTAGGGGTTCCAGCTGTGATAGGTTAATGGTTGGACTCAATGATCTTAGAGGTCTCCTCTCTATGATTTAAGCAACACAGAGGTAATCTGAGTCACCCCTGCACTGCTGGTTACCTCAGGTTCCAAACCCTCAAAATGGAAAATCAAGATGAGGACAGTTTACAAAAACACACCAAGCAGAAGCACTGGCATTGATGTCTCTGTTACAGACCCATCCACTGCTCTGTGGCACCCACCTGTTCTCTATTCCTACATAGCATCACGATTTGGGGACACATGAGAATTTCAACTTGCAAAGCAAGGATGGGAAGGGACAGGGCAGAGTCAGATTGGATGTGAGGAGAAATGTTTTCCCTGTGAGGGTGTTGAGGCACTGGGATATTGCCCAGGGAGGTCTCCTCCAACCTTGGTGGTTCTATAATTCTATGTAGCTGCAGCATTCAAGCAGGTCTTTAAGTACAGCTATGGGAGCAGCTGCTGGGCTTCCCACAAACACTTGAGATCAGTGCCCTTTTACTGGTGGTATTGGTAGAGGAACATCAAGGCAAAGTGTGAGTTAAATGCAGAAAGTTGAGGGGGAAAATGAAGAAAAGGTTAAGCTGCAGATGCACAGGACATAAAGGTGTCAGGCTCCAAGTTGTGGTGCAGAATGGTCTGTAGTCAAAAAAGACACATCCTCTCAGGACTTATCAGATATTAGCTTAATCTTTGTTATTTTACAGATGTAGAGTGAAGAAAAGCCCACTAATGTACTACATAAAAAAAAAGAATGATGTAGCACATGAATGAAAATGAAGGAGTAAAAAGGTGTGAATACAGCTTTTGTTACAAGAAGTCACACCTCAGAACTCTATTAGGAAGCTCATGAAGTAGCAAAGAAACAGGAGGAAAAAGAATATGGTATGTTAGGATATCAAAGAGTCTCTTAACAAAGTCCCTGACCGAAGGCACTAAGTTGATACAGGATGGTGGGAAGGTTCTCCTGAGGATAGACATCTCCCTCTCAACAATCCCACGCAGTGAAGGGACTGGAGCACAAGTGCCATGAGGAGAGGCTGAGGGAGCTGGGGGTGTTCAGCCTGGAGAAGAGGAGGCTCAGGGGAGACCTTATCACCCTCTACAACTCCCTGACAGGAGGTTGGAGTCAGGTGGGGGTTGGTCTCTTCTCCCAGGCAACCAGCAGCAGGACAAGAGGGCACAGACTCAAGCTCTGCCAGGGGAGGGTTAGGTTGGATATGAGGAAGAGATTTTTTGTGGAGAGAGTGCTCAGGCATTGGAATGTGCTGCCCAGGGAGGTGGTGGATTCCCCATCCCTGGAGGTTTTCAAGATTCACGTGGTAGACACTGAGCCATGGGAGCTAAGAGCTGTTAATCACCTACAGCTCTGTCTGGGTTTAACGTTACTCCCTGTAACAGAATTTTTTGTCTAACTCTCCAGAAGGTTTTAATGTAAATTCCATGACTGGAGAAACACAACGAAGTTGCAAAGGGAAGCTCCTCCAAACCAACAGTCAGATTACTGTAGTACATCCTCCACTTCGGATATACTGAGATATGGCATTTAATTAGCAGCTTGGTGTAGTGCAAGACCCTCCTCTCTTGGATAACCAGCACGGATTGTGTCCTTTGGAGGAGTCAGGGCTGCACAGTGATGATTCTCATCTTCAGCTTTATGACAGCAGGTGGTTTAATGGAGAATTTGGTCTTGCAAGCATGAGAAGATATCTTCTCCTGGTTAAGCTGACTGGTGCCCTGGAAGATTGTATTTCCTTCCTGACTCTTCCTCGTGGTTTCCGTGTGATATGTAGGATAGGCAGATCGTTTAATCTACTCCTGGCTCCTTAATATCCAGGCAGTACAGCTGCAGCATATGTGAGGTTTGGGATCAACAAGCACACCATTTTCAGGACAGGTACCCAGACTTTTCTCCAGGAGCAGTGGCCAGAGGTGTTTTCTGTTTTCAGAGTTCCTTTCACTATCAGGAAAACTAGCAAGGGATAAGGAAACAATCTCTGAGCTTGCAGGGGAAAAAAGGGTGTTTTTCAAAGCCTTTCTTGTGATATCTGTTAGGTGTTTGGCCTTTTTAGGAA